AAGAAGAGGGGGAGGAAGAAGATGACGCGTATTATTTTGCTTTTGATACTAAAGAAGAGGGGGAGGAAGAAGATGACGCTAATGATTTTGATTTTGACAGAAGAAGAGGGGGAGGAAGAAGATGACGCTAATGGTTTTGAGTTTGATCCTAAAGAAGAGGGGGAGGAAGAAGATGAAGATGCTCTCAGTTTTCTTATTCACCTTTGATTTGGATGCTAAAGCAGAGGGGGAGGAAGAAGAAGAAAATGCTGTCAGAATATTGGATGCTAAAGCAAAGGGGGAGGAAGAAGAACTTGTCATGGGCCGGCCGTTCGATGAACAAACGTGCAGCCACCTACCATCGGGGGTTGGGGTGCGTTCTGGGTGGTTTTGAACTTTTGGTTGACTTGTTCAATTTATCATGGGCCATTCGATGAACAAACGTTCTGCGCGATCATCATAACTTACCATGAGGCATTGGGGCGCGTTCTGGGTGGTGGGTGGTCGGTGGACCTGGGGTGGTGGGTGGTTGGTGGACCTCTACATCGACCTGGGTTTCTCCAACGTGCACCTGGCATGATTTGTCACTCAGTCAGATTCAGTCAGATCAGTCAGTATCAGCTGCAACTTCATGTTCATAGTCAGTTTCAAGATTAGCTATCGAACTCATGCCAGTTGTAAAAATGTCAATTTACTATTCTGCCTATCTTTTGGCCGGAAGGAGGACATAATTGTGGATCATCAAGGAAACAACTGATAGCTAAGCATGAATGAATGGTTGATGCCAAAGAGTAACATAATTCATCAAAACAGAAGAGTACAGGCAAAGGCAACACAGGGAACACAAACAAAAAACAAAGACTCCATAGATACATTGATTGAATCATTGAACCATTCGCTGATATTCGCGGGCAATGTCGGGATCGGTAGCACAGGGAGCGCAGGGAGCATCAGGAGCATGGGGATCAGGATATGCAACGCCACCTCCACCTATTGCTCCTTGCCAGATGACAGTGGTGCAGTATTTCCACCTTTGTCACTGTGTAGTAGTAGTCACATGTTCTATTGACTCCTTCAATGACTTAGTAGACTGTGATCGCCACTGTTGAGAACGTGTTGAACATCCTGTTTCGAGGGTTTCCTTGTCACTCGTGGCTTGCTCGTCCGTGCAGCAGCTGGATTGTTGGCTCTGTTTCCATTTGAGCCACCTGAGGTATATGTTCAACTCCAAATCCAAAGCTTGCACGCTGAAACTTTCTTTGCTTTGAGAGAGTCTTGGCTGCAAGTTTTCAATTTAAAAATGTTCAATAAGTAAGAACTTGAGATTTGAATTGACAATTCATGTGTTTGACGTGTTTGACCATCTGAATTATAATCTTTGGACTCAGGATGTCAACGAGTTTATCGGGCTCCTTGAGGAAGTGCTTGACGACCCAAATCAGAGGAGACCTGTACTACTGCGCTTGGAGTTGTTCAGGACCAGTCTGGAGGAAATCCTGCAGTACACAAGGTCGCTTTGCAGGTTCTTTGCTGTTGACTGTGACCCAGAGTAGGCGGCAGGATGTTTTTTTGTCACTGGACTTCACTTCACCAAGAGGCAACCACTGTTTGAACGACTATTTCAAGTCCCATCAAGCCCGTGTGTGGTCCTTTGGTCAAGTGATGAATGGTTCACACAGTTGAACTCACAATGATAAAGTCGATTGTGAGTATCAATTTTTGAACGGAGCTCAGCGAATGATAGCTGCTCACGTGAGGTTGAGATCTTTGAAGGATTCACAGTAATTGTCAATCGCTGGTGATTGACTCATCCTCACCGAAATGGTCCACTGAAATGAGTCCCTAATTAACCTTTTCAGGCAGAGTCCTGACCCATTGAAGTGGGCGCCCTGTGAGAAGTTTCGCTGTTTCTGAATCACATTCACATTCACATTCACATTCAATCACTCATTCAATAGTTTCACATTCTTAACGTTCACATGCTCACATGTCTTTCTATCTCACATCGTTGCTAAATCTGCTGTGCAACTCCCATGTCGTCCCATGCCACTGTGTCACTAGAAGGCGGTCCACCATTCTGTCATGACTGACATTGGACATGAACAAATAAACTGACATTTCAAGTCAACCGAGCCAGGTCCTCAACATACCTTCGACTTGCTGCACCTGTGCTGGAAGGCAAGGATGTGTCGTCGTGTTCTGTCATTTGTTGATCGCGCGTGTATACCTTTAAGGTTTTAACTTTTGGGCTGCGGGTGGATTCACTCACCGATTCTGATTCTGATCCATGGTTTCCGAGTATTTTTTATATCGTGACTGTTTCTTGAATTTGATGTCATGACAGGAGTTTGATTCATTTAATGTTTCCTGGTTTTTGCCAACCACCGATCCATGGCCCTTTGTGGATCAAATGAAGGCGGCCTTCATACCCTCAGAGGGAGCACATCAAGCAGTTGCCACACTCAACTTGTTACCACACTCAACTAGTAACTAGCCTTCAAACTGACCTTCAACTTGCCGCACTCACAGTCAGATCAGATAAAATGTCATTTGCAGATCGAATCACAGTCAGATCAGATTCAGTCTTCAGCCGATGAGAAGATTCAATTTCAAGCTTTTCAACCCTCAGCTTCAAGTCAGATTCAAGTCATCAGATTCAATCACTGATTCAATTTTTCTGCCTGCATGCCCTCCAACTCCATAGCGGTGGCACAGCTGCCGGAGAAGTACTTGAAGATCGCCTTGCAGCTGGATCGCGCTGGCCAGCAGACTTTGTTTCTGCTGTACCTTTGCTGCAAGTGGACACATGATGACACATGAGTGGCCAACTGAGATCATTCATTGGCCAACTGCCATGGATTCCGCATTGCAAACATTTCAAGGTGGAAGCTGGATCCTGCTCTGTCCGAGCAGGCGTAGCTTGGAACAACTTTTGCTAACCCATGCATTGCAACTGCAAGCTTGTGTCATTGCTTTGTTTGCTTGTGTCATAGTTGCGCACGAGTTGTGGTGTAGTGGAACTGGATCTGAGGATTGGTGAATTGGAGAGCGGCCGCGTGTACAACTATGGCGGGTGCTTGCACTGGAAATACGTGGAGCGTGCCTCGCTGGCCACGAAAGGTCGCCATTCTCGCTTGGCCCATCAAAGGGATGAGGACGAGAGCTGCTTGGTTCACATTAAGATTTCAGACGCATGCCCATGGTATCATCATTCTGATCAGGTTGCGTTTTCATGCCACGGGCTTGCAGCTCTTACCGTGTCTTCTAAGGCCCAGGCCCACCTTCCAAACGGCAGCGTCGTTGACCGTCCTCAAGACATCATCTTTGAAGTGGCGGACCACATTTCAGTTCAGTGCCACAATTTGTGTTGGATGCTGGAGTGTCTTGCTTGCACTTATTGATGTTCAATTGACCTTGACTTACTTGCTTGTGCATTTTCTTGTCATTTGTTGGTTGTTGACTGGTTGTTGACTGACACATACTTACATGGCTATTCCTGCTGAGAACCCACATGCCCAGGAGCGAGGAGCATGACCGCGCCGCCATTGATCGATCCATCTTGAAGCACTGCGGCTTGGTGGCCAGGGTGCGGGAAAGCGATGCTTGGCTGCATTTTGTTTGATAGTCTTGGAGTGCGTGTTCGGTGTCTTGAACCATTGATTCACATGTTTTGCGGGGTCTTGAACCATTGATCATGTTTTAGCATCTTAGGTGCTCCGGAATCCCAACACAACTCGCGTT